TTCACTTTCTTTTCGCTTTGTGGCCCGCGTGTGATAACGTCCATAGAGAGCCTGTGTGGTATAGTGGTTTGAGTGTTGGACTAGGACTCTGGAGACCAGGGTTCAAATCCCAGCTCTGCCATGTAAACCCACTGGTGACCCTAGGCAAATCATACTCTCTCAGCCTCAGAGGATGGCAATGTCAAACAAACCCCAGATGTACCCAGCAATGGACCCCAAGTGCTACCTGGGCAATGACAGGCAAGTCATACCAAGGTCACTTGGAAGACTGGAAAAAACCCATCCCAAAGCCAGGCAGATAGTGTGGGAGTTGCAAATGGACCATCATCACCTCCATAATCAGAAGAATGGGTGATAATTGCCTAGATGTCTCACCTGATGGGCCAGCTAATGACTTACACCCTTTCTCATTCACCTTGAATATTGCCAGACTGGAATACCCCACACATACAATCTCACACCTTTGACCTGCAGCTAGTTTTACCCCTTAAAAACACCTGGATTTTTCCCCTCAGTGCCCCTAGTTTGGACTTCATGGGGACACTACATCACTGTCCTCTCTAGTCTAGTTACCGACACCTCTGTTCAAACCATCGCTCTCGGGATCTCTCATGCCACATCACCCAATTGGATCCCAGAGAAAGCCTCATCTGTAGTTTTGCCTCAACATCTTTTACAAGCTAACCCTGACTTCCTGAGCCTTGAATGAGTGTGTGTGTGTGTATGTGAATAGCTGTGTGATTTTCCCCTTTAATAAATTATAATTTAATTGGAGAATTCTGCCTCTGCATCAATTCTTAGATCCCTCAGCCTCTTGGTATACACATGGGGGATGGTCTCATATGGTCCTTGTAGCTGAACTCCTCTCAATTTGAGCTAAATAAAATTCCCCATAATAGACTTTTGGCTATAGCACACAACAAGTGGTAGTTAATCCCACTTCATGGGATATCCATCTGTATATTTGTCACTTGCATACTATATATATATATATATATATATATATATATATATATATGCACACACACACACACACTATATCAAGGTTTCTCAACCATTGTTTTCTGGAACCCTAGGGTACCATGACAGGTCACTAGGAGTTCAGCAAAAGATTATGATTTTAAAAAGTAAATCTTTTTAAAGCTGTAGATGTAATTCATTCCCTGAAGTCAAAACATCATTTCAAGGGTTCCTCTAGAGTAAAAGTGTTGGAAAAGTGTGTGTGTGTGTGTATCTTCAAGGTGCCTGTTGACTTATGACAACCCTATAAATTTCATATGGGTTTCTTAGGGCCTAAGCAGATGGCTTAAAAGGCCGTCCTCAGTGCAGGGAAGGGGAAGGGCAGCTGCACACTCAGTGCCCCAACCCCCCCAGAGGTCGTCCTTGGAGCAGCAGGCCCTCCGCATGGCCAGCCCTCTGAGGACAACCTCCTGCCTCAGCGTCCAGACACGCTGCGGTGGAAAAGTCAATGAAATTTAGCGCTCCTTTCAGGGGCGGCGAAGCTGCACCGCAGGATCGAAGCATGGGGATGCCTCGATCCCGTGACGCAGCTTCCCAGGGTGGCCCACGACCGCCCGTCTGCTTAGGCCCTTAGAAAAGAAATACTCAAAGGTGGTTTTCACAGTTCCGTCCTCTGAAATATAACCTACAGCTCCTGGTATTCATTGATAGTCTCCCATCCAAGTAGTAAACAGGGCTGGATTGGCCTAGCTTCCAAGATCTGATGGGTTCTAGTGTTTTTAGGGTATTTAGCACTATAATGTATATTTGACATGCGTGTGTGTGTGAGTAAATGTGTCCATCTGTGAATTACGCAAGTGGAGTTTGTCTTTTCTTCCATCACCAGTTCATCAGACTTCCAGGATGTTGGGAACAATGATCAGATTGAGTTTTCCTGACAATATTTCTTAGCTGTTCAAGAAAAAAAAAATCCTTCTGCTCTCACCTCACCAAGAAACAGTGAATAAGCCTGAACACACTTCTATATAACATCCACAGTTTTTCTGCATATATGCATTTGAATTGAGGTTTTTGCAGTATCTATCATGTATAAAACAAATTATAATTGTATCTATAGTTCACCTCCATTCACATAAGGAGTACAATGACTTTGGCCAGCTCTGCTGTCCCCCACCCCAGGGGTAGGCAACCTTTCCCTTTAAGGGCCAAGGGACTTCAGCTCTCAGAAGCCTCAGCCATGTTGGCCAATAGTCCCATATTAGCCAATAGCTCCTGGGATTCTGGGAGCTGAAGTCCCTCGGCCCCACCCCATCTCTAGTGATCCTCTTTACCCAGTTCCTATGGAGCATGCTACTATAGGATATGGGAATCTAGAGAGAAAAGAGCCAGGGAGATGAGCATTTTTTTAATCCTGTTTTCTTCATGTAAGAGCCAATATGTGAAACAGCCAATGTGTGAAACAGTTCTCTGTTTCCAGGCAATTAACCTGGGTCAAGCTCTCTCTTCTTTAGACGAAGCAGAAGTAAAAAAAAAAAAAAAAGCAAACCCAAAAAACATTGCATTCCTTAACACCTACAGCTTCTTGTCTTTCCTTTCAAGTCATTGGATAAACACCAGACAAGATGGTACAAGGCTGAACTTTGGCCATTAGTTACATGCTGTAATTTAATGTTATTCACAGACATCAGAGCCTGGTAGCAGTTAATCCCTAATGTAGAAAAAGCTTCCCACTGATACTTGATCTGTATTTTTATGCTGGATCTGAGTGAAGATCAAGAGACCAAATTTGATTAGCATATAATAAATCTGAAATAACTGAGTGAGTTCAGTGCAGTTATGTTGAAATAGACAGTGATAGCTCCAAATAAAATTTAAAGTCAATAGCATTTACAAACAATTCCCTTAGCTGCTTGTTCTTTAATTTTGTGATATTCTTGCATCCATCTTTTTGTTCTTCTTGAATCTCATTTGTGTGTCATTTATATGCTTTTGGTGCAAAAGATTTAATTTTCTAAGTTGTTAGCTTTATCATTTAAAAGCGTATAATAGCACATATAGGTGTGCAGCAGACAAAATAATAATTCATATTGTATCAGTCAGAAGCACTCTACCATCTTAATCTTTTATAATGGTTTTTCTGCAGCTTCCAATTTTCTTCATAGTAAAACAAATTACTTAGCAAATGGAATATCTTTTTTTCATAATAATTTAATATTAAAATATCAATAAGATTCCAGTGCACATAGCAGAGGGCATAAAGGTACAGCAACAGAGCAGAAATGAAGTAAACTTAATAAAAAGAAGTACGGAAAGGCCCAAGGCCAAATAAACTCTGGTACTGGATTTGAAAGTATCCCTCTCTTCTACAAACAACAGAATTCAGTGGCACTCTAAAGGGTCATTGGGAGGGGTTATAGCAAAGCCAGTGGAGCACATGATTGCATGGAAACAGTTTTGGGTTCTATTTCTAATACTTGGAGTCAGGACTAGACAAGACATCCTTGTGTGAAACCTTGATGAGCTACTGCCCTTCACCAGATGGACCAGCAATTTGACCTAGCATTAAACAGGTTCCAATAGCCTATCAGGTGTACTGTGTTGAATTAGCTGTCCTAAATTAAGTATTTCCACACAATAACACATTTGAGTGGTTGATTGCCTATCAGTGAAAGAACCAACTACCCCCATAGTTTATATACATTGTTTCATTGGAGGATAGGTTTGGTACCAAAAATAAAGCTCCAAGCTGTCTTGGATGAAACTGATTATCTAGACCCATTTCAAACCGGCTTTAGGACAGGCTTTGGGGTTGAGACTGCCATGGTTGCCTTGACCGACGATCTGCGTCTGAGCATCGACAGGGGTAGTGTGACCCTGTTGGTGCTCCTAGACCTCTCAGCAGCTTTTGATACAATAGATCACGGCATCCTCTTGGACCGCCTGAAGGGGTTAGGTATCGGGGGCACTGCTTTGCAGTGGTTCCGATCCTTCCTCTCGGGTAGGTCCCAGAGGGTGTTGCTTGGAGATAGTAGAGTAAGAGGGAACATTTTATCTCCAATGTTGTTTAACATCTATATGAAGCCGCTGGGTGAGATTATACGGAGTTATGGTGCTGGGTGTTATCAGTACGCTGATGACACTCAAATCTATTTCTCCATGTCTCATTCATCGGCCTCAAATTCCACTGGCATGTCTTCTCTCAATGAATGTCTTCAGGCTGTAATGGGCTAGATGAGGAAAAACAGATTGAAACTGAATCCAGACAAGAAGGAGGTGCTCATGGTAGCGGCCCTGAAACCAAGAAATGGATTGCAACCTCCAGTCCTGGATGGGGTCACACTCTCCTCCAGTGA